ACCGGCACCGGCAGTAGCCATGGCGGCAGCAGACCCTCGCCCTGCGGCTCCCCGCCCGCCTGCTAGCGCCGCTCCCGCCGCCGGCGTTCGTGAGGCCGGGAGGGGCGGCCTACCCCCCCCGGCCGCTACTGCTGTCGAGACCGGGGCCTGCTGCCCGTTGGCGATAGGAGGAGCCCCCGCTCCCGGCGCCGCGGGCGCCGCTGACGCTACCGACGATGTGCTCTTGCGGCCTCGCTTGGCGGCGGGTTGGCCGGCGGCGCTGAGCTGCTCCATTCCGTCGGAAGGCGCGCCGAAACATCCAGGGGGGGTACAGCAGCAGGCGGGCAAGGGGGTAAAGCAGCCAGAGGGCAAAAGGGGGTACACCAGACGGCGAAAAAAGGGGTATATACAACAGCCGGGGGGAAAGGGGCGAACATTGGACGGTCGTTAGAGGCAGTGGATTCGGAGGGCGAGAGGCCGAGCAACGGGGCGGACATGGCGTGCGACACCGGCGTGTCGCCCGGTGTCGCTCGGTCTTAATCTGCAGTAAAATAGATAACATTGAACGTGTTTGCTGCTGCTGGGGCGTTGCAAGTTGTCTTGCCTGGGCCCGCCGCTCCTTAAACCTATCGTCTCACGGTGCTATAAAAACAAAAAAAAAACGATAAGGCTCTCTCTCTCAGCAGGAAACGCTGCCACTTGGGTATAATATTACTGTTTTCCCTTATAGTTTTGGAGAACGTACTGCGAAAGTTCTTAAGGCACTACAGCTTGAAACCGGGCTGCTGGTGGACGTCATCCCAGAAATAACTGATGGAAACGTTCCGGCAATTCGAGCAGTTGTACCCTTGGGGGCATGGTCGAGCGCCCTGGTGCGAAACGGGCTTCTTGTTTCGGGAGGAGAAACAACTCGGCTTCTGCTCCACGAAAGCACCGCCGCAGCCGACAGAACCGCAAAAAAAACAACAACGACCATTGTCTACTGCCGGAGCGCGCTACTCCTAATCATGTTGGTGTGCCCAGCAAGACAAGGAAGGCCGTCAGTACTCGGGTGTCTTCGAGCGCAATATACTCCGTATGCGGACATCAACAAAGCCAGCCTGTCAAGCTCTGTGTGACTGACCCTCCTCTCCTGCGTGATATTTCGATATTTCCTTCTCTGCGACCACGGCTGACATACAGATACGTCAAACACATGCCTATCGTACACTGGCGCCCGAACACACGAGACGAAAACACACACGCAGCCGAAGGTAAACAGAGGCAAGTGACGCGTTCTTGGTGCTGGTTCGCACCCGGGATTTCGGCGAATCTACGCAGCGTACAATCGTTTCGTGGAATGCATCTGAGCCTCAGAGCGGTGCCATGGGTGCAATTCCATGCCCTGTTTCACTGATTATAGAACTGCTGCTATGTGCAAGCCAAAGTACAGCGTATGCCATCGTGCCGCGGGACATGGGGCCTTTGAATGAACATCGTTCGCAAGTGGCGGAGGAACCATTTCATATTTCTTCCTTGTTCCATTCAGCGACTTGGGGCAACCAAATGGTATCAAGAAAGATCTCTATCGGTATTGATGGTTTTCATGTGCAGAAGAGGCATCACATTCTCCTTCCCAGCAGGCACGGCTGCTGCTGCTGCTTCCGAAACCGACGGTTCGTCTGCACCTCTGGTAAGTCTAGTCCGCATTGCACTCCTTTGGAGTGACAACGGCGGGTGTGCACACCAAGGCAAACTCGTGCACCCATGGTCCAAAGCACTACAGCGGTACACCACGGTATGCACAGAGACCACGCGCAGAGCAAGCACATACCTCGCCATTCTCTACAGCAGCGCTGGCGCTCTTGCGCCGGTTTCCCTTCTTCGTGGCGCCAGCAGCAGCAGCCGCCGCCGCCGCCTGTCCGCCGTTGGCGACCGGCGGCCCCGCTGGCCCTTCCTCCTCCTCCCCATCGTCCATATCAACATCGTCGTCGTTGGAATCCGTCCCGCCAGGGCCTCCGCGCCTGCTCCGCTTCGTTGCCCGAGGGCCATCGCCGTCATCGTCTTGCTGGGAGGTAACACTGTTCGATCTCGTACGACGAGAGGCCGCAGGCGCAGAGCCTGGGGCAGCGGCGGAGGAGGAGGGCAGGTTGTCCGCTATCGTTGGACTGCTGCCGGAGGTTGTTCCGGCGGTCGACTCTCTCCCTCGCTTCTTGCCGAGTTTGGGAGGCATTCCTTCGCGTGCAATCCGAGATTTCTCCCGCACCGCCTCTCTTCAAAGGCTTCCCTTCTCTCCCGCGCGGGCGCTTGCTGTTGCGCGTTGCGCGTTTGCTTCGATCCACGCCTCCCTGTTGTTGTGTGTCTCACGTGTCGAGAGGCAGGTGTGTCTTCTCCCCTATTGCGGGCAGGCACCCGCGAGGAGGGTATGCCGCACGCAATTTCATTCACGGAGCCTCTTCTTGCCCCCCTGGGGAAAAAACGCCGGATCATGTCTGCTGTCGCACAACCATAACAGGTGAGAGAGCTGCTACTTCCGGTACTACCGGGAGACACAAAAGCGTTGGGGAATAACAAGCGCGGCAAAGGGCACGATGGAGGCCTCTTCGAGGGAATCAACGTCCGTCTACTTCTGCCACGTGTGCATGTGAGCTGGATCAACTCTATGTGTGCCGTTGTCGAGTCGTGCGTCTGTTTGAACTCTGTACAAGAAGAGCAGAGTCAAGAGAGAAACACACCGCCCGCACTGCAAATGCCTGTGGGCCTTTTCGGGGCATGCCCCGTGCTTGAATAGGGGAAGGGACGAGCTACCTCGGACTTGGCCGGTGGAGCGTTGCAAACCTCTTATGGTGTGCCTTCTTGTGCGTCTCTTTCTTTCATGGATGTCCCATGCCAAGGCGCATGCCCGACCATCCCACTGGTACTCCTGTGTGTGTGTGTGTGTGTGTGTGTGTGTGCGTGTAACGAAAATGAATCGCGGCACAGCAGCACTCCTTGCGCGTCGTTTTCGAGTCAGACGACGAGATTACCTCTCTCGGGGATGCTGCGCGCTCATTATTTCCCCCCGCACACACCCCAAGGACAGTCTAAGAGACGAGCAAAGACGACGAGCCGATTTTAGCAACCGTTGTGCAGAGTGGTTCTTCGTTAGGTGGGGGTGAAGGGAGAGCCCAGGGGTCCCGGGGGTGTTGCTACAAATGGAGCCTGTTTTCTCCTGCTCGCCACGCTCAGTTGAATCTACTATTTAGAGTTGCTCTGGGGGTAGGTGGTGCGTTACGTTCAACGAATTCGTGGGCACACGCCACGAAAATTTGTGTGCAGGGACGCGCAACGGAGTTGATTCCCCGACGACCCCCCAAGAACGCGATGCACGGGGGCGCCTGCTCTGTTGCGCTCGCAACGAGCGTCGCGTCCACAAGTAAACAGATGAATCGTCTCGGGTCATGGGGGAAACAAAACCCGAACTCTGTGAACACATCCAATGGGGGAGGAGCACTCGCCCCTTTTACAAGCACATAAATAGGACAGAGCCTTCGGCAGGTGGGCATAAAGCCCGTTGTTCGTTGGCGTTCAAGTTGGACCCTAAGTTCATCTAACTCACTTTGTTCCTGCCTTGGGTATTCCCGCTACATATGTGCCCCTTTGGTCATTCGTGTGTGCGTGGATGGATGCACATGGGCCTATTGGTGAATTCTGCCGACGTGACGCTATTGTATAGTGGCCAAAGTGGTATTGATGCGCTATATTAGCGACGCGTGTCCTTGTTCTCCACGCACACCCCGCCCCCCCATTAATTAATTTCTCACGCGCAGCCCCCCCTGCCTCCATCCCTCCCCTTTGGGGGGGATTCTACTTGCTGTGCCCCCAAACGTTGACGGTGCCGTGCACATTCGACTGCGAAATGTGTTGACCAACAGGAGCCGAGTGGGAGTGAGAAAGACTTCCACGGAGGAGCTGGAGTGTCGAAGGGTGAGACAGGACGAGTGTGGGTAGCACGCGTTATATTGTTTATAGTACAGGCAGCGCCGGCAACAATCCTCCGGTTTCTCTCGAGAGACTGAGAAGAACCCTTCCAGAAGGCTGTTTGTTGTTGCTCGTCGAACCCATCCGGTCTCTGGAATCTCCCCAACAATTTGATGGTACGATTAGTCGCTGCTGCGCCGTTGTGCGCAAGAGCCACCTTCGTACTACACTCGCAGCGCAGTTCTCTTCCCCGCCGAGCATGTCCGCCCTCCGCGACACCGCCCGCGTCCGTCCGGTGCTGCTTTCTTGCTTGCCCGTGACTATTTAAAACAAACCACGACTTTCTTTCCCGTTCCATCTTTTTTTTACCCTCCGTCGTCTGTGTTTTTCCCGCCACCACCAGTGCGAACAGACGTTTGTGGAGGAGCTGCTCGAGAGCGTCGTCGGCAACGCCGCGCTGGGAGGCATTGACGACGATGACGATGACGATGCCGCCGCCGCCGCCGGCGGGGACAACGACGATGGCCCGGCTTCGTCTCACACGGCGGCGGCAGCAGGAGCGGGCCGCCGCGGGACCAGGGGGGGCACCCCAGGCCAGGGGGCACCCGTGATCGGGATGCCTTTCAGCATGCTGCAGGCCTTGGGGGTGGGCGGGATGCATCCGTTGAACGCACGACCGGCGGCGCCGGGTGGGGACCGGGGGGAGGGGGAAGGCGGAGAACAACAAGGGAGCGCTGCTGGTGGGGGTGGGGCTGGGGCCGAGGGCGGGCGAGCGGGACCGTTCCTTTTCGGGGGGCGATTCGCGATGGGCAGCGGCGGCAGCGGGTCCGGCAACACCGCCGGTAGCGGTGGTGGTGGCGGTGGCGGTGGTGGTGGCGGTAGTCGCGGGGGTAGTAGTTTCTCTTCTCGAGTGCAGCGGTTTCGCCAAGGCTCGGGCAGCAGCACGAACACCAGCAGGACGAACAGCAACAACAGCAGTAGCCGCAACAGCACCGAGGGGTCTTCCTCAGCAGGAGCTAGCAGCAGCAGCAGTAGCGGAGCTGGCGCTGCGCCAGGCGGTGGTGCGAGGACCGGCGGCGGCGGCGGCGG